AACTTAGTTATTATTCATATTATTTATTATATTTAATATTTTTTTAAAACTTTATCTTGTTCTTTCACATGTTCTTAACTGTAGATTTGTCAAAAAAGACATAATATAAAGTATAGAATGTTTTAGATCATCTGCCTCATTATATATCAAATATTTGTATATTCTATATTATATTATATATAATTACAATTTTTTAATTAAAATTTTAATTAAACATTTACAATTCATAAATTCATTAATAATATTGTCGAGTCAACTTTTGTTCATAAAATTTTTAAAAATATATTATTTTCATTGATTGCTTATATTGAATTGAGAAAAGTTATGTTTTGTTTTTTTAATTATATATAGGGAGGATATAAGATATGATGGCATTAGTATTACCAATTTGCCATTAAAAACATGTGAAAGTAAGGGTTTTTTAGGTAGTTCATTTTTTAATTAAAAATATAAATAAAATATGATGTGTATTAGTGTGTTACTAATTTGCCATTAAATTTATGTCAAAATAAAGATATTTTAGGCATTTTGAATTTTTACAAAAACACTCCTCCTTTTATGTCAAAGTAAGAGTTTTTTTAGGTATTATGAATTTTTACAAAAACACTCCTCCTTTTAAAGTAATATAGATAAACTAGTTTTTCAATTATAGGTCATAAGTTATAAGCTATAATCTCGAAAATTACATATAGCTATAAGCTAGCTTATCAGTTAGTTTTACCAAATATAGCTTTAACTCCATCGATATATTTCAAAAGTTTCACTAAGATGTCTGAAGCTTAATTTTCCCGATTGAATTAGAGTTTGGAATCTCCCAATTCTCATAGTTGAGTTATCAATAAATTTTTCATTTGTTATGAAGTTTAAAGCTCATTACCATAATAAGTTTTTATAGCTGATCGAAGATCTAGTACAAAATTACTTTTACACTACGATTTATGACGTATAACCCTTGCAGGTATACCAAAATATGAATTACCTGATCACTGGAATTTTATTTTATTGATGTAAAATAATAATTATAGAATAATTATTTTAGAATATTGTTGACATCCGAGCTGAGTTGAGCAGGCCCGGAGTTAAATACGACCGCACAATGAAGTAATAGCTTCATTCCGGCGTTAAATAATAATTGTACAGTGTTGATAACAATATAGTTTCTGAGTTAGTGAAAGATTTGGTGATATGCGTGTGATTTGTAAAATGTAAAGATTTGGTTGATTACAAAAATAACTTCCATCCTAAGCCTTGTTACGTTCTTCTAAAAAATAACAAGTAAATAATTTGTTAAACTTTTTTGTTGTGTTCTCCGTCTTTCTTACTATTAGCGTTGTGTGTTTGGTGGCCTGATAGAAGTGTTGATTTTTCTCTTGAAAATGCTTTAGGAAATAAGTCCCCTGTTGAATGATTTTTTTCTCTTGAAAGTGCTTTAGAAATTCTTGTGTTTATTCAACTAGGCTATGCATCTATATTTTTTAAAATAACATATAACTTGTCACTTGCATTTTCTAATGTGTGACGAAGTTTTGGGCTGCAGGGACAGAGAGTTGAGGAACCACCGCCTGGAGATGAATTCCGAATTCCGGAAATATATTGATATCCGACGACAGCACGATGCAAATGTCGGTGTGCTCGATATATCACATCCCACAGCTACAATTCGTTCTTATTTCTTTCAGCATTTATCATTTTCGTTTGATCTTATATAATGCTATTGTCACTGGGCGCAAGTCCTAGTCTACTTTCTTCTGCAATGCATTCCAAGTGGAAAAAGACTTCACCGAGTGATCACATTGTTTGCCAACCGCTCAAGCAACTGTTTGACCTTCTAATCATATACAAAACTTCCTCACACTATCTTCAAGACGAGCAATCACACAAAGTAAACCACGTTAAAATCAAATACAAATCAACCCATATATACAATCCCTTGTGTGTGTGTCTGTTTTGATGAATTGAAGAGTGAAAGTTAGATACAGATAATAAGTTCACCGGATGTACATTATATTCATTTTCTTTTATAATAAAAATTGAAATGATCGAAACACAAGTCTCTTGCAATCTCACCGATGAAATAAATTCGACCAACAAATCTGCACTGTTACACTTCAAATGGATCGTGTTGGCTGCTTAGTAGACAGGCCAAATATGGACACCTTCATCATTTAACAGCATCCCTTTGGGCTGAATTTGAAGAGTTGGGCTGATTGTGAGCAGCCCAATGAAGCAGTTGAGAGGTACCCTCATTCCCCAGACGTTGATGGATCTGAGTTCCCGGCATTTGTTCACAAGGGCAAGAAGCCCAATTTCTGTAACATGACGACAGCCCCACAAAACAATGGTCTGGTCGAAGGGAGTTAAAATTTGTAAGGTGGCCAAATGACTTTCAGATATCATTGAAAGTACAAATATTTCGTTCAGGCATTACATGTAAATAGATCTCTTTCTTTGTAACTAGACAAAAACCAGGTGTTTGTTTTTGCGATTTATATTTAACTTCAAGACGACGCTATGGCCTGTGTGGTGATAACTGAAAGCATTATAAGTACTGTATCAGGATTTTTCCCTTTTTTTTTATGTTCTTTATCCATTTCAGTGAGATAATACCTTCAGGTGAGGGCAGCTATCACCAATGGCAAAAAGGGATGCATCTGTGATAAATGTACCACCAATATTCAAGTGTTGTAGTGAAGTAGCTCTGGAAATCTGTAGGTCGGAGAACGATATGTTAATCGAAATTAATAGAATATATTCAGACGGTTTTGATTATTCACATCCCCAAGCGGATTCATTAGGAAAGAAAAAAATTTGCCCGGAAATGCTAATCGGTGGTTTTTTCAAGGTCACTTGAACGGAGAGAAACAAAAAAGCCTCAGACCATTAGACCCAAGCAGAGTATTCTCTGTTCTTTTAGAAGTCACTACAAATCTAAAGACAAAAAGAGAACACAATCCTCCAAATATCTTTTAGTTAATTCGGAAGCAATGTTATTAAAATTCTAATGACCCTAGCATCACAAATTCAAATTCTGAGAAAAGATTTATCATGCACACAAGAAACCATAAATTATGCTAGCAACATAGGATGATGAATCAATCTTCGAGAAGTCCATTATCTATTGTTCCTTCCACAAATCTTTAGGAGAATGTAGGAAGAAAAATCAATGTCATACCAATTCAATGACTCCTTTGTCTGTAATTGCTGTTGATCCCCACATAGAAACGGAAGAAAGATTGCTAATACATTTTGCCGTAGATAATTGCTTCAACCCATGATCGGTTATTTGGCAACCCCATCGACTCCTTGATCTAGAATCCAAATACTACCATCATCAACACATAAAAAAGATAGGCAACAAAACTGATTTGTCTATAGCCTCATTACACAAATATGCTCAGACAGTATGAAAATCTAGTGCATCATGCATTCATGTTCTACCAAAATCAAGACAGGAAAAGGCATGATTAAAATCTTTGATCGATCGTCATACACGATGGATGGCCGGATATTCTCAGTGCACATCCGAAATCCAGTTACCACACACACATGTATGAAAGCTGAGATTCAAATTAAAGATTTATCCAAGAACTAATTTTCCTCCAAAAACATAAACACTACTAATAGAACAAGAATTCAGATGGCACCAACTGTCGAAACCTTAAACCCAGAAAATTAACTAACAAAAATTGACACGCAGATATGCTTTATAACAGATAAAACCCCAAAATAATTAAAAAAAAAATATATATCATTACATGTCGAGCTCCTTGAGGCTGTAAGCTAGACGAACAAGGCGAGTAGTGGACTCGTCATCCATTTTCCACCCAGAAAAGCTCAGACTTTGCCTTCGAGCTAGAGATTCTCTCACGCCCTGCCTCCATTTTCTGCACACACTGCTTGCCCTAATTTTATTCTCCGCTCAGACAAAACAAAACACAAATCCGCTAAATAAAGTAAAAATTTGAGAAAGAAAAAGGAAAACAAACCAGACGAAATAGCTAACTCACTGAGCCAGGTCTTTGAAAGAAGTGAAGAGTGAAAAGATGTGGGCCAACAAATCAACGGGCAGCCTGTCGATATCGTGTTCTTCATCGCCTCCCCTCATTTTTTATGCAGGCCTAAAATCAAGAAAATGGAGTTGAGAAGGGGATGAACTTCATAAATAAATAAATAAATAAATAAAAAATAGAGCCGTGAAGATGAAGATGAAATGTTGAGGCGGAGAAGACAGACAGAAAGGTGGGTGGATGATGTTTATGGCGCTTTCAAGCGGTAAAAATGTACAGTGGGGTAGAGAGAGATGAAGATGAAATGTTGCAACACTTTCGACATGTGTTTTTTTTTTTTTTTTATATAATTGGTATTTTTATGCTTTATTTAGCTCCTAATAATATTTATTAGAGTGCATATTAGTCGACTGAGACCGATCAAAACCGAAAATCGCTTTAGACCGAAACCGAAACTGAATATTTGGTTCTGTTTTCGGTTTATACTTTTCTTAAAATTTCAGTTTTCGGTTCGATTTTGATAAAAGTATTCGGTTATTCGAACCAAACCGAAAACCGATAATATTCATATAAGTTCAAAAGGCCCATATATTATCCACCAAGTACATGTTTTTTAAGCCCATTGATATTAAAAAGTATGGAACTAATGAAGACACACACCACCCACACACGAGGCCTATTGCTCCTCGTTTTAAACTCGCTCCCATTTCAACACGAATTTTATTAAATTTTGTTCAATTTTTCATTGTTGTTAGATTTTAATCTGATAAAATTAGCAAAAAAGAACCAGTCATTATATATATATAATGTGATTTGATTTATTTGGGTCTAGTTATATTTTTTTTTTTTCAAAAAATAAAGTAACAGGTTTTGAGACTACTTTTCCCATGGTAAATTATCTTCTATTTTATGTAAGATAATAAGTTCTCAACACATTTTAAAAAAACATATGTTCCTAGTATTTTAGCTTGTTTTGGTTAAATAATTAAGTATCTAGCTATTGTTATGTTTGTAAATTGTAACTTACAAATTGTGGATTTTTTTTATCATTACTCCCTTGTATCGGAAAACCAAAACTCGAACCGATCCAATCGATGAATTTTCGGTTTGGAAACCGATCCGTAAAATTAGGTTCGACTTTCGGTTTAAGGGTAGAAAAAACCAAAATTTCGTCGGTTCGGTTCGGTTTTGACCGATTGAGAGACTATAGAAATGGAAATTGACGATATCAACCTCTTAAAGCACATCATAAAAAAGTGTAAAATGTCGGCATTTTCGTCATTTATATCCCAACAGCTCCCAAAAATCCGGCCTCCCATCAAAAAAAGTTGAATCACCAAAAGATCTCCATAAATTGTATAGTAAGATAAAAGAGAAAGGTCATTATAGTCATTTAATATACTAAGTGGTGAAATTGTAAATAAAATAGGACACATGTCGAAATTTAAAGAAGCCTTACGTGGACACATGTCACCATTAGAAGGACTCACACTTTTAGTGGAGTTACGGCTGTGCACGCAGAGCCGGTCCCAATCTAGTCAATAATAAAGTAAAAAAATATTTTTGATTTCAGTTGTGCTGACCGAAATTAGCTTTTATTTAATTTTTAACTTAATAATATAATACAATCGTATACTTGTAAAAATATTTTCAAAGTAATGTTCTATAATATTTTATTATAAATAAATAACAACTGAAAAGTACAAAAAAAAATACATAACATAAAAAATTGAAATACATTACCATCCATGTCACCATAACAACCAATTGGTAAAAAAAAGGTGGACAATATTTGTCTGTTTCACGAAGAAATCTCAAGAGGGATGAGATCATGAGCTTTTAGACAACTTTTTAAGGTGAGGTAACTATTGATCCACTTTTTCTGTTATTTCCTTGTCTCACTCAATATGTGACCAAAAAAAAAGCACCTAAACATGAAGGCCACCTGCATCGATGGGCTTCTGTGAACTCCTTGTGCTAGACGTGGCCAAATCCCGGGCCGGGTGTCAGTAGAAACCAACAAAGCTCGCATGAAATATGGTGTTTCCAGCTCCACACCCAACCTAGTAAGCACCAAATTCTCGTATTCACCAACCAAGTAACCATAACAATGAATACTTGAATTCCTCGAGTGTGGGAGTAAAATGCTTTTATGATATCAAGTATCACCAGGACACGAATAAATAATCCACCAAATAAGAAACAATTGAAAAACCACAAAAGGTTGATACATCAAAACCACACCTCTAGTATCACTCATCTTCCTCCTCTTGGGGTAAACAAAAAATGAAAGGGGAAGTCTGATAATTATACAGCTTATTAGAGAATTAATAGTAACATGCTATCAACTTTTTGCACTTACAAAAAAGTGGTGTCCCCATTATTTATCCAAATAGTGACGATCCTTAATGAAATGCAAGAAACGAAGAAATTAGCATATGAATTCAGTAACAATGGCTACAGACAAAAATGCCTAAAAACGAATATAACCACACTATATAAACACTAATAAAGGTCAAGCAAGCATTGACTTCTCAGTGAGTGGATGGAAGTTCAAAAAATTGGCATCGGACAACAAATTGAAATGATAACGAACAAAGGCTAGCTATAACGTCCAAATGATGCTTAAACCACAACCAAATTTGTGGCAGGACTAATATTTATGAAGATATGTGGCTAATTTGGTTTGCATCAGCATATGCTCTGCATGAGCATATTGTACATCACAAACTTCTGGCCAAGCGGCCAGTATTTCATTCTTTAACTCTACAAGAATGGTTTTTTTGGAAATAAGCAAAATTAATACACAGTTCACAAGCTTTAATATAGTTAATAAGGTCATATATCTAGTTAAGGTCATATACTCGTAAATACACAAAATAACCATTTTTGGTAACTTAAACACAACTGTGGCTACACATTTAGAGACAGATATGTAGTCTAAATCCAAGTGCAATGAAACCACATATAAGTACCCGTGAAACCAACAACAACAAGAATAACAAATGTAACATCGCAAACTTAACATGAATCAAGTGGATGGGGAATCTCAATTCAAATAGGGTTTTGAAACAGAACTTCTTTTGATTCTTCGAAGGTACTAACTTACCACATCAGCAACAAAACCAACTACAACAGCAAATGGTTCCGCTACATTCAGAATGTGGAGTCAACTATTCATGAGCTGAGCATATCTTTAATCAGCTAGTGACCTTAGTCTCCCAGCAAGAAGAAATAGCTATCAGGTCCAAACAAACATGTCATTTTGTCTTTTAAAATAATTAAATACTTGTTACATAACCAACAATATTCATATGTTGCAAAGCATGGTGGTCTTTGGACCATTTAAGAATTAACACGAACTATCAGAAAGTAGCAAATAAAGAAACGGAGCACGAAGTTCAGGAATATGGATATATGGTTTAAGCATATGGTGTAATTTTGAAGTCACATTAGCCTTCAGCCACATTCAAGTGGATGTGCGTCCAGTGTCGTCATATTCACTATCATTTTCTCATTTCTACTACTCCAGATATTCACTCAGACAAATAGATGACATTTCTATAAACTTCAGATAATATAGTTCGACAAAAATGTTAAAAATTAATGCTCATTTTCTAGAAACTAATATTAATAATCATTGGTTAGAAGTTAGTAAGTATTAGTTGGAAGTTGATTAGTTGTTGCAATAATTAGAGCTCTAGATTTTTCATCTAAGTACTATATATATATATATATATATATATATATATATATGTGTGTGTGTGTGTGTGTGTGTGTAATGCGTGTGTATTGCGCATGAAGCAAGTAATATGAATTCAAGAAACTAATTCTATACTACTTTGTTCCTATAAGCAATTGAATATTTTTTTCTCCCACTAAATATCAATTTCTGCAACTAATTAATTCCTTTTATGTCAATACTCTTATATATCTATTTAGATACCAACAGTGGTATCAGAGCCCGGTTGGATCAATAGATGGGCGAAATTATTTTCCAATATTCTCTTATTTTCACATATCTTGTCCAAATATCCTATTTTCACAAATCCTCCAATTTTCACATAGCCTATTAAATCTTTATTATGACCACTTTCCAAAACACCCACCAAATACCAATTCCAATATTTTCCGGCGAAAATTATAACTATTGGGCCATTAAAATGAGAACATATTTTATGTCACAAGGCCTTTAGAATATTGTCGAGAACGAGTATACTATTCCTGATGACATATCCACTTTGTCTACGGCGGACAAAGCAAAATTTGACCGAGAGAAGGAGTAAGATAGTTTGGCTCTTTTACACTACAAATGGCTATGGCTGAGTTTCTATTCCCAAGAATCTGCGGAGCACAAACATCAAAAGAGGCTTGGGATACACTAAAGGAAGAATATCAAGGAAGTGATAAGGTACGTCATCTAAGATTACAAACACTAAGGAGAGATTTGGAAAGTATGAAAATGAAAGAATCTGAGACCGTAAGATTACTACACTCGATTAAGAGAGGTTGTAATTCAACTAAAAGTATATGGAGAAAATATCACTGACAAAAGGGTGGTAGAAAAAATTCTAATTACTCTACCAGCCAAATATGATCCTATCGTTACGACGACAGAATAAACTAAAGATTTGGATAAATTATCAGTGACAGAATTAATAGGTTCACTTGAAGCCTATGAGAAAAGACTGAGTATGCGTGAAAATGATTCAGTTGAAAATGCATTTCAGTCAAGAGTAAATTTACGGTCTCAGAATTCTAAAGTTAGGAGGAGAAAATTTGGAGAAAATAACAAAAATAGAATATGGTATGATACACCATGTGGAATTTACAATAAAAATAATCACAAAGAAGAAGAATGTTGGTTTCAAGAGAAAAACCAATGCAAAAATTGTCAAAAGTATGGCCACGTCGAGAAAAACTGTTGGAGCAGATGACAAAATCAACGAGTAAATTTTTCAGAAGAGACTGAACCAGAAGAATTATTGTTCTATGCTTCCAACGGTACAATAAGAGACAAAAGAAGCATTTGGTACTTGGACAGCGTTTGCAGTAATCACATGACATTCGATGAAAGTATCTTTTGCAATATTGAAAG